CAGCCTGGAGCCAGGAAAAATCACATTTAAATCCAACCTCTGGCACTTACTAGCTGTGTAACCTGGGCAAGTCACTTAACCTGTTTGCCTTGGCTTCTTCATCTGTAAAATGGGGATATAATAATACCTACCTCCCAGGGTTGTTGTGAGAAGCAAATGAGATAATCATTGTAAAGCACTTAGCACAGTGCCTGGCATAAAGTAAGTGCTATGCGACCCTGGGCAAGTCATTTTACCCTGTTTGCCACAGTTCCTCATCTGCAAAATGAGCTGGAGAAGGAAATGTCAACCCACTCCCAGTGTCTCTGCCAAGAAAACCCCAAATCAGGTAGAGTTGGACAAAACTGAACAACAATAACAAAAATACGTTAGCTGATAATTATTATTGCTGCAAATTTAAAGTATTAAGCATCAGCTTTCTATCCTAAAGGAAAGAGAACATAATGATTAAATGACCTATGCTGAGAGGCTATTCAAAACAAGAACTCCCTAAATGCAAAAGAAGATCAATTAATATTCACGAACAATACTAGGATTCCAAGCACATTGTTTTGCATCTCTCAGATGCACCTAGCCCACCATGGTGTGTGTTAGAGTTCTCTCTTGGTGTCTAATTCCCCTACCAGATTCCCAACTCCATGGAGCTGAGGAGTGCCTAGCACAGTGCTCTATACACAGCAGTTATTTCATAAATGTTTGTCATTTGTTGATAAATAAAAAGTACAAAAACTTCCCCAAGGCATTAAATATCAAGAAAGTCTTTGTCTTAGTCTCTGAACAGAACTATTATCCTAGCAGACAGAAGGCCTGACCAGTATTTTCATTTACAAGCTGGTTACAACCAGTTGGCTCCTCTTTCTAAAGAATGTCTTATAATGTGTTACAGAAGGACATTGTTGTTATTTGGAAATAAAAAGGGGGGGAAATTCAACCTTGGGACTTCCAAGTCAGAAAATTCTGCTTCAGAAGGAGAAGTCTATCTATTACTTACCAATTTAGTTATGATGAGCAAAGCTCATAACAGTGTATGACAGTGGGTAAATTACTTAACCTCTCTGAGGATAATGTTATATTATTTGTAATCTTTCGTAAAGTTGTTAGGAAGATGAAATGATTGCGTATGCGTAGTGTTTCCAAACTTTAAAGCACTTTGTAAATGTCAATCATCAACCGGGTCACATGTTAAAACTTTAGCTGGTACCTCCAACAGCTGGTACTATTTATACCAGTATTTTTAGTTGTGGCAAAGAACTATACACTAAAGGAGTATCCCTCAAATTGGAAATGGCTCAACAAATTATGGCATATGAATGTAATGGAACAAAAGACATTAGAAATGAAAAGGGGAGTGGGTGTCAGAGAAATCTGAAAAAACTTGCATGAGCTGATGCAAAATAAATCGAGCAGAACCAGGAGAATAATTTATACATTTACAATAGCAGCAACCCTTTAAAGAAAAACAGCTCTGAAAGACTTAAAAACTCTGATAAATGAAATAACCACAACTCCAGAGGAAGGAAGCTACCCATCTCCTTACAGAGAGGTTCAAAATGAGGTACAAAATGACATATACATTTTTGGACATGGACTTGTTCTGCTTAACTATTTTTTATTTGTTATAAGTTTTTCTTTTTTTTAGTGAGACTAAGGGAATAGCAAGCAATAGGGTTGCCAAAATTAAAAAAGAAGACATAGTCATGAAAACATGTTTTAAATCCCTAGAACTGAAGAAGTTCAAAAGGAAACAGACAAGGAGGACAGCTTTGGAAATAACATGTGGAATTAATTATATTTTTTTTAAAGCAAGTGATATATAAATGAAGATTCACAATTTCCAAATAATCTCCTTTTCTGTTCTATTTTGTATGTGTAACATATGTAGGTGTTTGTTAAATTCAGAATTTTAAAAATTAAATTTGAAAAGTTCTGCCTTTGATACTTACTCATTCAACTTCTCTGGGTATCAGTTTCCTCATCTGTAAAATGATGGGGTTGGATTAGATGACCTCTGAGAACCTTTCCAGTTCTAAACCTATGATCCTCGCAGAGCCTCAGTTTCCTCATCTATGAAATGGGAATTACACTATGCATTGTTATAAAACTCAGATGATATATATTTATGTACATATATATGTATACATATATATATATATATGTATACACATACACACACAAACACACACACACATATGATGGCTATATAAGTGTCAGTTCTACTCCCTACTTTATAAGATTATTGTCAGGATAAAATGATATGGCATGTAAAGTACTTCCCAAACTTTAAAGTACTACATAAATGTCAATCGGTCCATATTAAAACCTTAGTTGGTATCTCCAACCTTTTTGTACCAGGATTTTTTTGTTGTTTGTATCAAACAATACAACTGATAAGTGAGAAGCAAAGCAAGTGTTCCCTGAGATTTGAGGGGGAAGGTCTTTCTAGATTAACTCAAAGGATTGTGGGAACTAGGAAAAGCTTTCCAAAAGAATCAACATTTGATTAAAGGATGGATTAAACTCAGCCAGGGAAAGCTGAACTATCATGTCAGTTGTTTTTTTTTTTTTCTATCCAAGCTTTCTTCTATAAATAACAGCTAACCAGGTAGAGGGGAATTCAGTACTAGAAACTGAAGCTCTACAACCTACTTTTTCTTATTTTGAGGTGAAAGTCTCTTGCGCCTGAACAAGCAGAAAGATTAAATCCTAGATCATTGGCTCATAGAATACTAGCATTGGAAATGCCTTTACAAATCATCTAGTCTGATCTTTTGATTTTTACATATGAGGAAACTGAGAGCACCCAAAGAAGAGATGTATTTTGCTCAAGTTCACAAGGATAGTAGTGAATAGCAGGGTTAGGCAGGATTCAACCCACAAAGAAAGGTAAATTTAATAATTAGATCTGTGGATATTTTCAGCAATCAAAAAAAATATATGATGTAGTAGAAAAAGTACTGCTGAGTAAAAGTACTGAGCTGATCACTTTAAACTCTCTGGGCCTCAGTTTCTTGCACTGAAAAAATGTAGACAATGATCCTTACATGACCTCGCTCACACATGTGCTGTGATGCTCAAATGGGAAAGTAGGGGTAAAGCACTCAAAGTTGTACAGGTCCTTAGGAATTAACCTTTAATCCAACCCACCATACCTAGTAAAGGAATTCCCTCTGCAATATTCTTGAGGAATCAAACCTTCACCTGAGAAACACATGGAATTCCCTGTCCCTTAGGCCACTCACTCCATCTAATAGCTCAAATTATAAGGAAGGCCTTTTATCTTGAGTCAAATCTGCTTCTTTGGAACCTCCATGCTATTACCATCAATGCTAGCTAGCTCTGCCCTTTGGGGAGAGAAGTCTTTTCCTACATCCATAAAACAAGATTTTAAATATCAGAAACAGCTATCATGCTCATTTCCCCATCATAAATTTCTTCTTCAAGCTAAATGTCCTCAATTTCTTCAACCAATCAATGACATGGTTTGGATGCTTTTCAACAGCCTGGGCACCCACCTTAAAACACATTTCACCTTATTAAGATGCCTCAAAAAACATGGTATCACTAAATGCAACTATAGCCTATTACATTTTTAAATAAAAACAACATTAACAATATCCCTCCACTCAAGTCCAGTGCTGATGTCTTATCATGAAAGGAAAGTGACCCTGGATCCTCAAGTAGTATATCAGGGGAATCTAAGCTATGGGAAGGACCTAACAAACTGAAGAGATTTCTAGGACAAACCCAATGATGGTCACCCCAGAACCAGTTAGCTAAGTGGAGAGAGGTCAATCATAAGAGGGTTGATCACCAGGGACTGACTTGGGTGGCAGGGTTACTAAGTCACATAGGGGCTGTGCTTTGTGTTGGTGTAAAAAGGACTCACATTAAAGAAATTATGGATTCTTGAAGCGTTTTAATCATAATAAAAATAATAATGATAACAAATAGGAGGTATTTTGCCTATAGAATATTAAACATAAACAATATTAGGATATTGACTTGCCTTGGGGTTGTTTCTAACTGAATTCCCTCAAAAACATGACAGCTTTTTAATAATAATAAGCAATACAGAGCTATTTCTATACCACATCAAAACTGACAAAGTTCTTTGCTTACAATAACACTGTGAAGTAGGAGGTGAAGTATCACCTCTATTTTACAGATAAGGACACTGAGGCATATAGTCATTTAATGACTTGCCTAAGATCATGTAACTTGTAAATATCAGAGTTGGGACTCAAATCCTGGCATCCTGACCACAAGCAGTCTTCTTTCCTTTCTCTTCAAAATCCTGAATTTATAAAAGTTGCACACAACATGTATTTCTGAGGTAAATGTATATTTGCACACTGGGACTTCTAACATGGGGTCCATGAACTTACTCTTGTTTTTTAATATTTTGATAGCAACAATCTAATATAATTGCTTTCCTCTGCAATTATATTAGATTGTTACTATCAAAATCCTCTGTATTTTATAAAAAAAAAACATTTTGAGAAGGGGTACATAGGCTTCACCAGACTGCCAGGGGGTCCATGACCCAGAAAAAGTGAAGAAGCCCTGTGAAGACACAAAGGACTAGGACTGAAAGGGATGTGAAATGGGAAAAAAAAAACAGGACTGGACAATTTCAAAGCCAGGTGTTCAAAATCAGAGACTAAGGCAGCAAGAAGTGCAGCCCCTCTGGAGGCCTTTCAGGAATTCTGCCCCTAAAGCCTCTTTCCCCTGCTACTTTAAAATCCATCATCAAAGCAGGATTACAATGTATTTACAACACTGTCACTTTGTAAAGAAGCAGCTGCCATCTCGAGGCAGGCTAATTTCCTATATGATTTTCCCAATCATCCACTGGGAGTGGCCACATGGGAGCTGGCAAACAGCTGCCTCAGCATTCCCAGGATTGCGTGCTCGCCTCATTCCTCATGTCCTCAGCTAGACTCAGGGTAACGGCAGGACCAGACAGTTTCTTGCCACCCGGCTATAGGGTTGTAACTCACCAACCACTGCTGAGGGATCTCGGGCAGCGGCATCTGCGGTGGGGCTGGCAAACTGCTGGTAACTTCTTGTTTCTGAACATGGTCTTTCACTTCAAAGCCTGTAAGTATTAAGAGAAAACCACATCAATTTCTACATCTAAAACCCTGGAATGGGGCTCTTCTCTTTAAGGTCAGGCTTCAGGGCAGGAGAGAGTGTGTGGTAGAAAAGGAAGACTTGGGTCTCAGACCCAGCTCCACCGCATACCAGTTGTGTGGCCCTGAAGGACTCCATTCAAGAACAGTAATTAGTGAAGGACTGAAAAAGTCTCTCCAAAGTCATCAAGTGTCTCTTAATGGCTAAATCCAATGAACAGCCTTTTCTCAGCCACCATCTCACTTTAATCTCTTTTATTACATGCTTCTCCTAGAAATTCTCCTATCTTGGATTCCATGACCTTGTTCTCTACTGGATCTCCTCCTCCTTACCTGACCATTCCTCCTCGGTCTCTTTTTGATGGTTGATCATCTCCTTCCCCTTTAGCATGAATATCTTTCAAGGCTATGTCATGGCCTCTCTTTCCTTCTCCCTCTCTATTCTCTTCTTTGGTGATCCCAACTGTTCTCCAGGATCATGAGCTTTGATGGGCAATCTAGCTAGTCTAGCCACTCTCATTTTAGAGCTGAGAAAATAGGTTAAGGTTAAGTGACTCATCCAAAGTCACACAGAAGTGTCAAAGGTGGGATTTGAACTCGCATCCTCTGAGTCTGGAGTCAGAGCTCTTTCTACTATACCATGCTTCCATGTGGTTTACCTAAACTCTTTGTCTCAAATGAGATAACATATGTAAAGTATTTTTCAAACCTACAAATGCTATTATATTATATTACATCTTTCAATGCCTAGCACAGTGTGACTTTATATCAAAGTCACTTAATAAACATTTATGGCTGTTGTTGGTAGTATTTTACAACTGTATAACTTTAAAAGTTATTCTCCTAAAGTCACAAAACTCATAAAAGGTACAGTAGGATTAAAATTGAGGCCATCAGATAACAAATCCAGGGCTCTTTCTACCACACTAAGGCCATAGAATGCAACTTTGTCTGAGAGGGGGCAATATGCTAAGTCATATTAGTCACTAACACTTTAGCATAAGAAAGGCTTATTGAATTGAATAGGATAGCTGAGTTGATCAGAACTTTTCCTGGGAATATAGTTTAGTCAGACTGAGAGAAGGAACACATAAAAGCCCCGAGTGTCTAAGGAATGGACCAGATACTATGGAGGTGGGGGAGGGACGCTAGAGGAAAAGAAGACAAACTTTACCTCCTTCATAATTTTGCTTAGGACTGTGGCCCTATTTCTACTAATACCAAGCTGTCAGAAGGTAAAGACAGATATATGGAAGATAGATGGGCAGAAAGAAAGATAGTCATAGAGATATAAATATTTTAAATAAAGTAGATATAGTTATAGCATCACAGATTCATAGCTGGTAGAGATTTTAAATGTCAGCTAATCCAATCCCTTCATTTTGTAGATGAGGAAACTAAGTTCTAGAAATCTTAAATAATAATATGCTCACAAAGCTAGTAGGTGGCAGAGACAGTATTAGAACCCAGGTCCTCTTGTTCCAAATCTCTCCACTGTACCATACAGTCAGTCATTAAGCATTTAATAAGCACCTACTATGTGCCAAGCACTGGGCTAGGCTCTCAAAGACCATACATACAACCTGCTAGGATTGATGAGATATACCTAGATACTATGATAGAAATTTTAATAAATGCATAAGCAGTGTACAAAGGCTATGATATCAGAAGTGTAAGAGAGCATTACTAACTACAGAGCACACACTGTTAGGGTATAATTCGAATCTGCCCATAGCCATGTCTCAAATACTGCATGGGATTTAGGTGTCTCTTGTTTCAATTCCTTAATTACTCTCCATGAGCAGCTATTGACACTCACCTTTTGATGACTGTATCCTCAGGAGAATGTTGGTTATCACTGCCTTTTTCTCTCTGACTGTTGATGTTAAGTACTCATGGTCCAGCAGCTCGAGGAACAGGCGCAGCTCGACAATTAACTCTTCCATTGCTGAAAAAGAAAAGAAAGGCCAACCTGTTAACTTGGAAATCTTTGTTTGTTTGTTTGTTTGAGGCAATTGGGGTTAAATGACTTGCCCAGGGTCACTCTACTAGTAAAGGTCTGAGGCCAGATTTGAACTCAGGTCCTTCTGACTCCAGAGCCAGTGCTCTATCCACTGAGTCACCTAGCTATCCCTTAACTTGGAAATCTTGAAATATAAATGAGATTTGTTTTCCCAAGCACATCCTAAACTACGATTATCTGATTTACCTAAGACAAGACTGACATTCAAAACCCACCACAATTTGGAAACCTCACCTGATCAAATAAGATGATATCTATAATGCACTAGGCACAGTGTCTAGCACGTATTAAGTTCTTAGTAACTGCCTGTGCCACCTTCTTCCCTGATCTAATATTCTTGCCTCACATACTCTTTACGCTCCTGATCCCCTAGACTATTAGATGTCTTATAAATAGGCCTGTCCCTTTTCTGTCTTTGCTTCTATTATTTCTTATGTCTGGAATGTCCATCTTCCCTCCTCTTTTTCCTCTGAATTCTTATCTGTCCTTTAAAGCGCAAATCAAATGTCACCTCCTCCAAGAAGCCTTCCCTGAGGTCACCAATAATGACCTTCCTTTTCAGATCATAGGAATATACAGTCTTAAACCTGGAAGGGACCCTGAGTGCAACCCTCTTACCCTAAAAATGAAGAAACTGAGGCACAGAGAGGTGGAATGACTCGCCCAGAGTCACAGAACTAACGAGTGTCTGAGGCAGGGCTGGAGCCCAGCGGGTTCCGTGTCCAGCACCCGATCCATTCTGCTACATGATGACACCTTGTACTTCTCTAATGTGTTCATAACGTTATTGTGAATCACAGTTGTCTATGTCTGGGCCCTTTCCCCCTGGCAGACTTAGCCCTCTTGGAGGGGCTATATCTCATCAAAGTCCTACAACGTCCTCAGCATCTAGCAGAGTACTCTTCTCAAAGCAATTTGTTCAAATTGAATAAGACTTTAAAATATGTGCCCTTGATACCAATGCACTCCTCTACAGAAACCAGTTCAAGCAAAAAAAAAAAAGCAAAAAACCCAAGTTCACATAGCCCTGATTCACTTCAAGGACACCTGCCAACAGAGGGAATTATGAGGCCAAAGCCTCGGAGCAGTTCTGACATCACCATATCAGATGCTGGTTCCTTGGCATTAAATTTCCATCTTGTAGAAGAGAAGAGAGGCTGGCTTGTCGGACAGTTTTCGGGAACCATTAAGCACAATTTCAGGCAACTAGGAGGTGCAGAGGAAGGAATGCCCAGCCTGGAGTCAGCAAGACCTGAGTTCAAGTCCAGCCTCAGACACTTACTATGTGACCCTGGGCAAGTCACTTCACCCTGTTTGCCTCAGTTTCCTCATCTATAAAATAAACTAGAGAAGGAAATGGCAAACCACTCCAGTATCTTTACCAAGAAAACCTCAAACGGGATCACAAAGAGTCAGACATGACTGAAAAAACTGAATAACAACAAAAAGAACAAAGCTTGCCAAGAAAACCTGGGTCACAAAGGCTGAAATGACTGACCAACAACAACAAAGCATGGTTTTAGAAACTCCACATCAGGGGCAGTGAGGTGGCACAGTGGATAGAGCACCAGCCCTGGAGTCAGGAGGACCTGAGTTCAAATCCAGCCTCAGACACATAACACTTACTAGATGTGTGACCCTGGGCAAGTCACTTAACCCCATTGCTTACCCAAAAAATAAATAAATAAATAAAAATTTAAAAAAAGATAGAAACTCAGCAGCCAATTCTCCTCTTACCAACCAGTGGCACTGACACCATCTTGAACACGAACATATATTCCCTGAAGAAAATGCTGCAGAATTTGAGAGCTGAAAGGTACCTTAGGCATCGACTAGTCTTGAGAGGCAGTGTGGTGTATGAGAAAGAACACGGCTTGGAACCAGGAGAGAGCTGGGTTTGAATTCCAGCTCTGGTACTTACTTGCTACGCTCTCTTCTCTTGAGGCTCAGTTTCCTCATCAATTAAAAGGGACAAATCATACTTGGAGTAGCCATCTAATGGGCTTGTTACGGGATCAAATGAGACAGCGCACAGTAATAGTTTGTATACGCACGTTAATTAAGATTATTGCTAGTCCAACCCCCTCATTTTCAAATAGGGAACAGAGAGGACCCAGTAAAGGCCAGGTGGTAAGTGACACTTCTAATAATCACAAAATCAGTTAGAAAAGGAACTGAGCAGAATCTGAGTCACAAGAGCAAATGCACTGGCAGAGATGCTAAAGAGGAGTCTCTTGTTCAAGTACAGGCTAAACCAGACTCATCACCATGCCTCAACCACCTTTTAGTCCTAGAACCTCCCTCAGGGCCTATGGCCTCTGGAATATCAATCCCTCTTGCCTCTGTGGCTTACTTCTCCCATTGGTGAGTTGCTCCTGGGATCTCCATTTTGGGGATGGGCCCAGAGTGGCCATTCTTCATACCTGTCCTTGTTTGGCTTCTAAGTGTCTGCTCTTCACCACCATGCCCCTAAACGGATACCTTTTTTCCAGATGATTTTCATATGTTGTCTTCTACCATGAGAATGCTTTTATTTATATCCTCAGTATTTAGCATGGGATATGGCACATAGTAAGCAATTAAGACAGGCTAGTTGACTAACTATTGACTTACTGAACTCTGTTGTTCCATCTCATTCAAACATTCTACAGTTCTGTGTCAAATTTCTGCACACTCTCCTCTTCAGGTCAATGTCAATATGCTTAAATCCATCAAGAAATCCAACTACCATAGCAGTTCTATTCAATACTTCTTCCTGATTTCTCTTGCATTAAGCACCATGAAGAGCACTGCCCTGAGCTACTTGCTGAGGCAGGAGGTAGGAAGGTGGTAACTCGATAAGCAAGATAGAGTCATTACCTGTTAAGCTCTTTCGATATTACTAGGATGAAAAGACAAATGAGATATCACCTATAAAGAACTCTGCATACCTTGAAGTGCTATGCAAATACTTGCTACCATTATAAGATATAAGATCATAGATTTGGAGCTAAAAGGAATCTTAGACAATCTAGCCCAATACCTTTATACGAATAAGGGCACTGAGGTCAAGAGACGGTTCTAAATAGTAGAGCCCACATTCAAGCCTTGGTCTCTCAACCTCAAATGCAGCAACTTCCCATTATACTGTTCTGTTTTATGCATATGTCAATATACTTAATATAAATTAGAATACCAAACATAGAAATATTGGAAAGTGCTCTATATTTCTTGTTCCAAATTCTTCAGGATCACCCGCTCATACCCAATATTCAATCTCTATCTATTAACTCTTTCCTTCCTGCCTACAAACACAGACCAGCCTATGCTGGGTTTAAAAATCTTCACAGTATCTTCCTATATCATTCTTCACTTCTCAGCCCAACTTCCAGAAAAAGCTGTCAGACAATCATTGCCTCTACTTTCTCCCTTCTCACTTACTCCTCAGTCCTTTGTAATCTGCTCTCCCCAAAGTTAGCAATGATCTCTTTGTCAAATCCAGTGGTGTTTTCTTAATTTTCACCATTCTTGAGCTCTCTGTAGCATCTGATTCTGTGAAGTGTCCTTTCTTCCCTGGCTTTTCATAACTGCTCTCTCTTTGTTCTCAGTCTCATGGCCCCTAACTGTAGGTATATCCCCACAGAGGGCCCCTGTTCTGGGCCCTCTTCTCTCTCTACATTCATTCTTAGTGACCTCATTAATTCCAATGGGTTTAATTATCTTCTCTATGCCAGTGACTCGAGATTGATATATGTAGCCCTAGTCTTTCTCCTGAACTCTAGTTCCTGTATCTTCTGCCTATTGGACATTTCAAGCTCCATATGTCCAAATCAGCAATCATTCTCCCAAACCTCACTCCTCTTCTAGATCTCTCCATTTCTGTCAAAGGAATACCAGTGTTCTGTCCCTCCCATTCACAACCTCAGTGGCATCCCTTAACTCCTCACTTTCATTCATTCCACATGTGCCATCAGTAGCCAAATCTGGCTGTGTCCAGGGATCAGGGAAGGTTTTGCAGGAAAGGTGGCATTTGAAATGGTGTTTATAGGCTAGACAGGATATCAAAAAGTAAAAACATATTCTCTGGTATCATTAGATATCTGGCTTATTATTATATTCTCTGGTATTATTTATGCCTTTGCACATCTGTCTTGTCTCCCCAAGTGTAAGCTTCTTGAGGGCAGGGAACAGTTCCTATTTTTCTGTATCCACTGTAGCGAGTATACATACACTGTACATATACCAGATTCTCAATTAAAACTTGCTGAATGACTGAATCATAGTCTGTTTCCTGAAAACATGTTTTCTTGGCCACAGAAGTACATTGGGCTAGCAAGGCCAACAAAAATTGACAGGGAGGAATGTGGGACCAAAGCAGAAAACAGTATTTTCACTTTTCAATGAAGAGATTGGCCAAAGAAAGCTACCAGTCAGCCCATCACTTTTTTGCAAACAAAAAGAAGAATAATTATAACCTTAAAGCATGGAATACTAAAGTAGTAGTAGTAGTAGTAATAATAATAATAATAATAATAATAATAATAATAATAAATGATGGCAAAGGGGAGATAATACAATACAGTGGAAAGAGCTCTGCTTGAAAGACAAGGAACTTAGATTCTCATCCTGATCCCATGCTACCATACTATGATACCAATTTGCTGTGTGACTATGGGCAAGTTCGTCCTTCCCATCTCAAGTCTCAGTTTCTTCTTCCATAGAACTGAATAGGACTAGGTGGACTCTTCTACCTCTAACATTCTGAAGGCTTGACACATAAGCATGCAGGGTAAAGGAATGAATTGTTTCTCTAACTCTCAACTGATAGTTGAGTTAAAACTGCTTAGCTTTACATACTTTTTCACTTAAGATCTGAGGGAACAGAGCAATAAATCTTTTAGAGAGTCTCATAGTCATAAAGCTCTATGAAATGGAGAGGCTGAACC